CAGGATCTACAATGTTTTCCTTCTTTGAGTGGTCCATCTCTAGTTCTGTTACCACTGTATCTATATAACATCGCTCTCTGTTACCACTGTATCTATATAACATCACTCTCTGTTACCACTGTATCTATATAACATCACTCTCTGTTACCACTGTATCTATATAACATCACTCTCTGTTACCACTGTATCTATATAACACCACTCTCTGTTACCACTGTATCTATATAACATCACTCTCTGTTACCACTGTATCTATATAACATCACTCTCTGTTACCACTGTATCTATGTAACATCACTCTCTGTTACCACTGTATCTATATAACATCACTCTCTGTTACCACTGTATCTATATAACATCACTCTCTGTTACCACTGTATCTATATAACATCACTCTCTGTTACCACTGTATCTATATAACATCACTCTCTGCTACCGCTGTATCTATATAACATCACTCTCTGTTGCCACTGTATCTATATAACATCACTCTCTGTTACCACTGTATCTATATAACATCGCTCTCTGTTACCACTGTATCTATATAATTCCACTCTCTGTTACCACTGTATCTATATAACATCACTCTCTGTTACCACTGTATCTATATAACATCACTCTCTGTTACCACTGTATCTATATAACATCACTCTCTGTTACCACTGTATCTATATAACATCACTCTCTGCTACCGCTGTATCTATATAACATCACTCTCTGTTACCACTGTATCTATATAACATCACTCTCTGTTACCACTGTATCTATATAACATCACTCTCTGTTACCGCTTTATCTATATAACATCACTCTCTGTTACCACTGTATCTATATAACATCACTCTCTGTTACCACTGTATCTATATAACATCACTCTCTGTTACCACTGTATCTATATGTTGTTGTTGTTGTTGTTGTTATCGATCCAGCAGCGCATGAGCTTTCGCCCTTTGGCCCAATGCCATGTAGTGGAATTTGCATGTTTTCACAAGCTGTTCTTTTCCTCCGTACAAGGTGTTCCACTTGTCTGGTCTCGGAGGGAGTAGCGTTCTTCTTGTCTCACTGAGTTTTGGGCACTCAAAGAGATGGTGTTCAACAGTTTCGTAGGGGTAGTTAGATAGCTGGCACTCTGGGAAGTGTTGTGGCTGTATTCTGTTTACGTGTCCATTGAGTGGAGTATGTTGCGTTCTAAGTCTGAAGATGGTGGCCTGGTCCCTTCTTGTTAGATGGTTAATGCTGTCATTAGGATCAGGGCCAGACATATGTCTATAAACCTCTCTTCCAGTGTCTCCCATGGCCCATCTGTTCAACCAAGTCTCTTTGTTTATAGCTCTTATCAGTGTTTTTGCTGTCTGAAGGGTTGTCGCTGTAGGTGGTTGTTCTTGTGTTGCTCCTTTCTTTGCCAATCTGTCAGCTCTGTCATTACCTGGTGTGCCGGAGTGACCTGGAATCCACTGCATCACTATTCTGATGTTGTATGAGGTAATAAGCTGATCAGCATCCAGGATTATCTTGGCTATGTCAGTTCTGCAGCGTTCACTGCCCTCCAGAGCTTGAAGGGCAGACATTGAATCTGTGAAGATGACAATATTTTGGACCTTTGAAGGGTAAACATCCATTACAGTCTTTAGGTGGTATACTGCTGTTTCCAGTGCAATTATTTCAGCTTCATAGTTTGAACCAGAATTCCCCCGCATGCATCAAAAATCTCTTCAACAGATCCATCGGGATAACCTATGTAGATTCCGTAACCTGCTTTAATGGTAGCTTTAAATGCTGATCCATCAGTATAGACATGTATCCATTCTTGGGGGTAAGAATCAACGGTCTTTAGTGATGAGTTCATAAGAGCGATTGGGTCGGACTGTTTGGTTTCCTCGCCTACCAATTTAGTTCGGACTTCTGGAGCTTTAAAGCGAGCATGTGGTGGTAGGTTTCTTGCAACATTCTGAATTCCTTGACGTCTTTCTGGGAGGTGGTATCTGTCCTGAATTTCATTAACACAGTGTAAAACCGATTTGTGCTTTATTCTTTGTTTGTATTCCCAGTTTTCTACAAGATCTCTATTAGGATGGTTACGATTTTTCCTAACGCATCTTTCATAAATTTCTAAAGTGGCTTTTTCTCTCCGCAACCCGAGGGGTTCCACATTTGTATGGATTTCACATGCAGCAGTTGGTGTAGACTGCATAGCTCCGCAGATTAATCGGAGGGCATTATTTTGTACTCTGTCAAGTGTCTCTAGGTTAGTTTTGGAGCAAGTTGTAAGCAGTGAGTTGTACTCTATCACAGAGCGAACATATCCTAGATATAAGCCCCTCAGAGTTTCCTTGTCTGATCCCCATGATGTACCTGCAAGTCTCTTTAATAACTGTAACCGCCTCAATGCCTTATTCCTGATGTTTTCAATATGGTTCTTGAGGCTGAGCTGCCGCTGTATCTATATAACATCACTCTCTGTTACCGCTGTATCTATATAACATCGCTCTCTGTTACCGCTGTATTTGTATAACATCACTTTCTGTTACCACTGTATCTGTATAACATTACTCTCTGTTACCCCTGTATCTATATAACATCACTCTCTGTTACCACTGTATCTATATAACATCACTCTCTGTTACCACTGTATCTATATAACATCACTCTCTGCTACCGCTGAATCTATATAACATCACTCTCTGTTACCACTGTATCTATATAACATCACTCTCTGTTACTACTTTATCTATATAACATCACTCTCTGTTACCACTGTATCTATATAACATCACTCTCTGTTACCACTGTATCTGTATAACATCACTCTCTGTTACCACTGTATCTATAACATCACTCTCTGTTACCACTGTATCTATATAACATCACTATCTGTTACCACTTTATCTATATAACATCACTCTCTGTTACCACTGTATCTATAAAACATCATTCTCTTTTACCACTGTATCTATATAACATCACTCTCTGTTACCACTGTATCTATATAACATCACTCTCTGTTACCACTGTATCTGTATAACATCACTCTCTGCTACCGCTGAATCTATATAACATCACTCTCTGTTACCACTGTATCTATATAACATCACTCTCTGTTACCGCTGTATCTATATAACATCACTCTCTGTTACCGCTGTATCTATATAACATCACTGTCTGTTACCGCTGTATCTATATAATATCACTCACTGTTACCACTGTATCTATATAACATCACTCTCTGTTACCACTGTATCTATATAACATCACTCTCTGTTACCACTGTATCTATATAACATCACTCTCTGTTACCGCTGTATCTATATAACATCACTCTCTATTACCACTGTATCTATATAACATCACTCTCTGTTACCACTGTATCTTTATAACATCACACTCTGTTACCACTGTATCTATATAAGATAACACTCTGTTACCACTGTATCTATATAACATCACTCTCTGTTACCACTGTATCTATATAACATCACTCTCTGTTACCGCTGTATCTATATAACATCACTCTGTGTTACCACTGTATCTATATAACATCACTCTCTGTTACCGCTGTATCTATATAACATCACTCTCTGTTACCACTGTATCTATATAACATCACTCTCTGTTACCGCTGTATCTATATAACATCACTCTCTGTTACCGCTGTATCTACATAACATCACTCTCTGTTACCACTGTATCTATATAACATCACTCTCTGTTACTACTGTATCTATATAACATCACACTCTTTCACCACTATATCTATATAACATCACTCTCTGTTACCACTGTATCTGTATAACATCACTCTTTGTTACCGCTGTATCTATATAACATCACTCTGTGGTGCCCTCTCTGTTGCCGCTCTATCTGTATAACATCACTCTCTGCGGTGCCCTCTCTATTACCGCTGTATCTGTATAACATCACTCTGCGGTGCCCTCTCTATTACCGCTGTATCTGTATAACATCACTCTGTGGTGCCCTCTCTATTACCACTGTATCTAAATAACATCACTCTGTGGTGCCCTCTCTATTACCGCTGTATCTGTATAACATCACTCTGCGGTGCCCTCTCTATTACCGCTGTATCTATATAACATCACTCTGTGGTGCCCTCTCTATTACCGCTGTATCTAAATAACATCACTCTGTGGTGCCCTCTCTGTTTTCACTTTTGTTACATTGCTAAACCATTGGACCTTTTCTCTACCCAAAAAAAGTTCAGTATTGGTTCTGTGGCCACTCTCCTCCTGCTGTATTGGTTGTGTGGCCACTCTCCTCCTGCTGTATTGGTTGTGTGGCCACTCTCCTCCTGCTGTATTGGTTGTGTGGCCACTCTCCTCCTGCTGTATTGGTTGTGGCCACTCTCCTCCTGCTGTATCTATATAACATCACTCTCCTCCTGCTGTATTGGTTCTGTGGCCACTCTCCTCCTGTTGTATTGGTTCTGTGGCCACTCTCCTCCTGTTGTATTGGTTCTGTGGCCACTCTCCTCTGTGGTGCCCTTGGTTCTGTGGCCCACTCTCCTCTGTTATAACATGGTTCTGTGGCCACTCTCCTGTTGTACTGGTTCTGTGTACTCTCCTCCTGTTGTATTGGTTCTGTGGTGCCACTCTCCTCCTTTTGTATTTTGTTTCTGTGGCACTCTCCTAAACCATTGGACCTGTTGTATTGGGTTCTCTACCCACTCTCCTCCTGCTGTATTGGTTCTGTGGCCACTCTCCTCCTGCTGTATTCATTCCTATGTCAGTCTTTTCAGGTTAGACGCAGCATAAGTGTCAACTTTTCATTTCTTTCATTTCCTGGCACTATGTACACAAAAGCTAATACTTCGTTTCTTCTTCTTACCAATGAGAAAAAGACCCCAAAAAAAATGTTTTTCTAGTTTCAGATTGTACAAAGGGATCATGTACAAACTAAAAGCCTGGTTTTTGGACCTTCTGAACCTTCAGCATCTACCTGCATGAGTAGAGAAGTGTGTGTTGCACCCACTGAGCCAGCAGCCAACCATGGCATGGGATCAGCTGAAATCTGCACAGGTTGTTTGTTCACACATGAAGTTGAATGATGTAGTGCTACCAGTTTGTATACAACTCCACTACTTGTTAGCGAAGATGGTTATAAACTGGTCCCCTCAGTTCATGAAGTTGAGAATTTGTAGTTCTTGTCCATCATTTTCTGAATGTCAGTCTTAACATGTTTCATGGCTGTTTGAGCTACACTAGCTTCTTTAAATTAGGCACTTGATGCCAAGACTCATTTTTGTGTAATTCTTTTTTCTCTCACATAGAAACACAGGCCCCAGTATGTCACATGCCAGGCCCTAGTATGTCACATGCCAGGCCCCAGTATGTCACATGCCAGGCCCCAGTATGTCACATGCCAGGCCCCAGTATGTCACATGCCAGGCCCCAGTATGTCACTTGCCGGGCTCCTTATTTTTTACATGCCAGGTCACATGCTACTGAAGACAGATTGATGACTGGCTGTATTCTAAGATAGCTGGTCCCACACTGGCCTTCCCGAATTCTGACAGACTGGAACGACAGTGTTGAAATTATTCTCAAACCTATTAGAGTGTTTACAGAATTTTTTCTTTCCTCTGCGGGTATACATTTAAAATACCCGTTATATGACCACTGCTATTGTCTATAGTTTAGAAAACCATAGAAATAATAACCATTTAATCCCAACAGGAAGTAAACAGCTGGAGCAATCCTACATCTTACCCTCACTTCCTGTGAGAGCTAATCATCTCTAACTGCATACCCAGTAGGTTACCTTGTGGCTGTTATTTGCTTCCATTTAAGGACAGATCACACAGTTAGGCTAGTAGTCACAGGTGAAACATTAGGTCAAACAGGTGAAACATTAGGTCACACAGGTGAAACATTAGGTCACACAGGTGAAACATTAGGTCACACAGGTGAAACATTAGGTCACACAGGTGAAACATTAGGTCACACAGGTGAAACATTAGGTCACACAGGTGAAACATTAGGTCACACAGGTGAAACATTAGGTCACACAGGTGAAACATTAGGTCACACAGGTGAAACATTAGGTCACACAGGTGAAACATTAGGTCACACAGGTGAAACATTAGGTCACACAGGTGAAACATTCACACAGGTGAACATTAGGTCACACAGATGAAACATTAGGTCACACAGGTGAAACATTAGGTCACACATGTGAAACATTAGGTCACACAGGTGAAACATTAGGTCACACAGATGAAACATTAGGTCACACAGGTGAAACATTAGGTCACACAGGTGAAACATTAGGTCACACAGGTGAAACATTAGGTCACACAGGTGAAACATTAGGTCACACAGATGAAACATTAGGTCACACAGGTAAAACATTAGGTCACACAGGTGAAACATTAGGTCACACAGGTGAAACATTAGGTCACACAGGTGAAACATTAGGTCACACAGATGAAACATTAGGTCACACAGGTGAAACATTAGGTCACACAGATGAAACATTAGGTCACACAGGTGAAACATTAGGTCACACAGGTGAAACATTAGGTCACACAGGTGAAACATTAGGTCACACAGGTGAAACATTAGGTCACACAGGTGAAACATTAGGTCACACCGGTGAAATATTAGGTCACACAGGTGAAACATTAGGTCGCAACAGTGAAACATTAGGTCGCAACAGTGAAACATTAGGTCGCAACAGTGAAACATTAGGTCGCAACAGTGAAACATTAGGTCGCAACAGTGAAACATTAGGTCGCAACAGTGAAACATTAGGTCGCAACAGTGAAACATTAAGTTACACATGTGAAACATTAGGTCACACAGGTGAAACAATAGGTCACACAGGTGAAACTATAGGTCACACAGGTGAAACATTAGGTCATACAGGTGAAACATTAGGTCACACAGGTGAAACATTAGGTCACACAGGTGAAAAATTAGGTCACACAGGTGAAACAATAGGTCACACAGGTGAAACAATAGGTCACACAGGTAAAACAATAGGTCACACAGGTGAAACAAAAGGTCACACAGGTGAAACAATAGGTCACACAGGTGAAACAATAGGTCACACAGGTGAAACATTAGGTCACACAGGTGAGCCATTATTAATAGGTCAAACATTTCTATCCCACATTTTTCATCTCAGCTTTTGTTCTTTGCCAGCTTGTATATGGTCAGTTTCTGTGTACCAGATTTCTGGACTGTGTTCGCTTTTTTATTTGACAGTAATATTTCAAGCCTAACAATCAATAGTCTGTTTGCTTTAGTGCTAGCCCTTTTTAGCTGTGGGTCAGTTCTCCTCTACTGAGCCAGCCTTATGGCCAACATGCTGGCAGATTTCTATCTGCCCCCACTAGTCCTACAATGGATTACAAGCCAGGCTTAAACCCGCTCCCTCTAGCTTACACAGTAGCCACTGGTCCATGGAATCTAACAGGACACATTAGATTGTTAGAAGCTTGTAGCCAGGAAAAATGTCCCTGTCTTGAAATGTTTTTTATTTTTTAAACAGTGTGTGACAAAAGTGACCCCACTTGACCCTGATACCCCAGTTTCTGAAGATAAAATCCGGTTTGTGTGTCTGTCTGACACACATGGCATGGTGGAGAAACTGGAGAACTTTGTGCCTCCTGGCGATGTGTTACTGCACGCGGGTGACATCACACGGTTGGGATTTCCCAGCAAGTTACAGGAATTTAATGACTTCTTAGGTTGGTTTTTGACTTTTTGCACATTAGAAACACTGGACTATCACCAAAATATATAGGACATTCATGGTATGTCAGGTAGGGGTTCGATTCAGAGCAGCAACAGACTTTAAAGAGAAAGAGAAAATAGAAACACGGGGCTTCATTGACACTATCAGTAGGATATTAGGTTAAGTATTACTCTAGTAGAGATCAGATGAGTCTACTGTCCTGAGAGAGTATTTTTAGTGTACTATTGAGGTCCAGTTTCTAGTAGATGACTGTATTGGCCAACTTGACCATATATAGGGGTCAGTCTCTGGTAGATCACTTCACTGGGTGACTTGACAAAAAAGGTAGTGTCAGCAACCTTTCAGGGGAAAGGGTATTTAAGACTGCAAGGTACTCTATACCCCAGGCGTAAAGGGTATTCAAGACTGCAAGGTACTCTATACCCCAGGGGGAAAGGGTATTTAAGACTGCAAGGTACTCTATACCCCGAGGGGAAAGGATATTCAAGACTGTAAGGTACTCTATACCCAAGGGGGAAAGGGTATTCAAGACTGCAAGGTACTCAATATCCCAGGGGGAAAGGGTATTCAAGACTGCAAGGTACTCTATACCCCAGGGGGAAAGGGTATTCAAGACTGCAAGGTACTCTATACACCGGGTAGGAGGGGAGAGAGAACTGTAAAGGAAGATAGTGGTGCTGTCACCCTGGCTACAAGCAGTGTGATGATGGCGGTTCGAAGACAGCGGTTGCAATCTGAAGAAATCTTTTCTCTGGGTTCGAAGACAGTGGTTGCAATCTGAAGAAATCTTTTCTCTGGGTTCGAAGACAGCGGTTGCAGTCTGAAGAAATCTTTTCTCTGGGTTCGGAGACAGTGGTTGCAGTCTGAAGAAATCTTTTCTCTGGGTTTGAAGACAGCGGTTGCAGTCTGAAGAAATCTTTTCTCTGGGTTCAAAGACTGCGGTTGCAGTCTGAAGAAATCTTTTCTCTGGGTTCGAAGACAGTGGTTGCAGTCTGAAGAAATTTTTTCTCTGGGTTCGAAGACAGCGGTTGCAGTCTGAAGAAATCCTTTCTCTGGGTTCGAAGACAGTGGTTGCAATCTGAAGAAATCTTTTCTGAAGAAATCTTTGGGTTCGAAGACAGTGGTTGCAGTCTGAAGAAATCTTTTCTCTGGGTTCGAAGACAGAGGTTGCAATCTGAAGAAATCTTTTCTCTAGGTTCGAAGACAGTGGTTGCAGTCTGAAGAAATCTTTTCTCTGGGTTCGAAGACAGCGGTTGCAGTCTGAAGAAATCTTTTCTCTGGGTTCAAAGACAGTGGTTGCAGTCTGAAGAAATCTTTCCTCTGGGTTCGAGACAGTGGTTGCAATCTGAAGAAATCTTTTCTCTGGGTTCGAAGACAGTGTTTGCAATCTGAAGAAATCTTTTCTCTGGGTTCAAAGACAGTGGTTGCACTCTGAAGAAATCTTTTTTCTGGGTTCGAAGACAGTGGTTGCAATCTGAAGAAATCTTTTCTCTAGGTTCGAAGACAGTGGTTGCAGTCTGAAGAAATCTTTTCTCTGGATTCGAAGACAGTGGTTTCAGTCTGAAGAAATCTTTTCTCTGGGTTCAAAGACAGTGGTTGCAGTCTGAAGAAATCTTTTTTCTGGGTTCGAAAACAGTGGTTGCAATCTGAAGAAATCTTTTCTGTGGGTTCGAAGAGACAGTGGTTGCAATCTGAAGAAATCTTTTTCTGACAGGAAACAAGTTTTATTTCTCTGCTGGAACACTCCGGTTTAAGAGGAAATGAATAAGCAGATTGGCTTGCAGTCAGGGCTATGGTAGACACTGGGAAAGCAAACGACCTGGCTGATTTTCTCAGTCATTTTTCTCAAGGAGCTTGGATCAGTAGATGATTCAGAAAATGACAAGGTATTGATAACCTTGACAAAACAACAAAGTCTTCGTGTCAAAAAATGTATTGACACACATGAACACTATATAGGTAGCCAAATCAGGATATTACACCAACTCATAACACAAGGGAAGGAAAGAGTGAGCACTCTGTAACTAAGGATGTGTATGGTTACCGGAGGCTAGCTACTGGCTGCCTCAGCCTGTGGACAAGCTCAGCTGTATTTATTCATGGATGCAATTTTTACAGCGATTTGTGGGATTGTCTCTGGAGCTACAGAGTTTGTGCTTTGTGTGAGGCAGAAGGGGGGGGGGGGGGGGATGAGGCTCTGGTGTGTCAGTGTGCAATTTGTATTTAGGCTGATTTCATATGCCCTAGAACAAAAAGTCCACATATGGACATTTAGGTGTTCACAGTTCCAACTTACAGCAAACAGCTCACCCCATAACTTTTCAATTCCTGTACCAACAAACAAGTCATCCCATAACTTTTCAATTCCTGTACCAATAAACAGGTCACCCCATAGCTTCTCTGTTCCTGTGCCAACAAACAAGTCACCCCATAACTTCTCTGTTCCTGTACCAACAAACAGGTCACCCCATAGCTTCTCTGTTCCTGTGCCAACAAACAGGTCACTCCATATCTCCTCTGTTCCTGTACCAACAAACAAGTCACTCCATATCTCCTCTGTTCCTGTACCAACAAACAAGTCACTCCATATCTCCTCTGTTCCTGTACCTACAAACAAGTCACTCCATATCTCCTCTGTTCCTGTACCAACAAACAAGTCACTCCATATCTCCTCTGTTCCTGTGCCAACAAACAAGTCACTCCATATCTCCTCTGTTCCTGTGCCAACAAAGGCCACACAGAATGCCCATTGCTGTACTTTGAGACAAAAACTGAAACAGGCTGCACAGACACTATTGCATAAGGCCCCACCAGTTCTGTGGTAACAGGCTGCTCACTATTTATGAAATTTGCATTTCACATTATACACTATGTTGGCCACAGTTGAAAAGATTACAAATAAAATATACATCTAACATTACTATGCCATGCACTTAACTCAACAACTTTTTGACTGAACGGTATATCTGTGGTTTGCAAACAGAATGCAACAGCTAACTGTGGCTCCAAGCATATAACTTGTCAAAACTAAAGCAGTCTGCCTGTCTGTCCACCATATTAGACTAGAAGTTCCATCTGGACATTATGTGCATCGATGTCAAATCTGCTGAGTCATTTCCCTGAACACGCGGAACCTGTCTTTCTGCTTGTATTGATCATGCTGAGTGTCTGATCTACCTGCACAACCACAATCTGTCCCCTAGTTCCTGGTAGTGTCTGATTTACCTGCACAACCACAATCTGTCCCCTAGTTCCTGGTAGTGTCTGATTTACCTGCACAACCACAATCTGTCCCCTAGTTCCTGGTAGTGTCTGATTTACCTGCACAACCACAATCTGTCCCCTAGTTCCTGGTAGTGTCTGATCTACCTGCACAACCACAATCTGTCCCCTAGTTCCTGGTAGTGTCTGATTTACCTGCACAACCACAATCTGTCCCCTAGTTCCTGGTAGTGTCTGATTTACCTGCACAACCACAATCTGTCCACTAGTTCCTGGTAGTGTCTGATTTACCTGCACAACCACAATCTGTCCACTAGTTCCTGGCAGTGTCTGATTTACCTGCACAACCACAATCTGTCCACTAGTTCCTGGTAGTGTCTGATTTACCTGCACAACCACAATCTGTCCACTAGTTCCTGGTAGTGTCTGATTTACCTGCACAACCACAATCTGTCCACTAGTTCCTGGTAGTGTCTGATTTACCTGCACAACCACAATCTGTCCCCTAGTTCCTGGTAGTGTCTGATTTACCTGCACAACCACAATCTGTCCACTAGTTCCTGGCAGTGTCTGATTTACCTGCACAACCACAATCTGTCCACTAGTTCCTGGTAGTGTCTGATTTACCTGCACAACCACAATCTGTCCACTAGTTCCTGGTAGTGTCTGATTTACCTGCACAACCACAATCTGTCCCCTAGTTCCTGGTAGTGTCTGATTTACCTGCACAACCACAATCTGTCCACTAGTTCCTGGCAGTGTCTGATTTACCTGCACAACCACAATCTGTCCACTAGTTCCTGGTAGTGTCTGATTTACCTGCACAACCACAATCTGTCCACTAGTTCCTGACAGTGTCTGTTACCTGCACAACCACAATCTGTCCACTAGTTCAAGGCAGTGTCTGTTACCTGCACAACCACAATCTGTCCACTAGTTCCAGGCACTGTCTGTTACCTGCACAACCACAATCTGTCCACTAGTTCCTGGCAGTGTCTGTTACCTGCACAACCACAATCTTTCCACTAGTTCCTGGCAGTGTCTGATTTACCTGCACAACCACATCTGTCAACTAGTTCCAGGCAGTGTCTGATTTACCTGCACAACCACAATCTGTCCACTAGTTCCTGGCAGTGTCTGTTACCTGCACAACCACAATCTGTCCACTAGTTCCTGACAGTGTCTGTTACCTGCACAACCATAATCTGTCCACTAGTTCCAGGCAGTGTCTGTTACCTGCACAACTACAATCTGTCCACTAGTTCCTGACAGTGTCTGTTACATACACAGCAACAATCTGTCCACTAGTTCCTGACAGTATCTTTTACCTGCACAACCACAATCTGTCCACTAGTTCCAGACAGTGTCTGCTACCTGCACAACCACAATCTGTCCACTAGTTCCTGACAGTATCTTTTACCTGCACAACCACAATCTGTCCACTAGTTCCAGACAGTGTCTGCTACCTGCACAACCACAATCTGTCCACTAGTTCCTGACAGTGTCTGTTACCTGCACAACCACAATCTGTCCACTAGTTCCTGACAGTGTCTGTTACCTGCACAACCACAATCTGTCCACTAGTTCCAGGCAATGTCTGTTACCTGCACAACCACAATCTGTCCACTAGTTCCAGGCAATGTCTGTTACCTGCACAACCACAATCTGTCCACTAGTTCCTGACAATGTATGCTACCTGCACAACCACAATCTGTCCACTAGTTCCTGACAGTATCTGTTACCTGCACAACCACAATATTTTCACTAGTTCCAGGCAGTGTCTGCTACCTGCACAACCACAATCTTTCCACTAGTTCCAGGGAGTGTCTGCTACCTGCACAACCACAATCTGTCCACTAGTTTCAGGCAGTGTGTGCTACCTGCACAACCACAATCTGTCCACTAGTTCCTGCCAGTGTCTGTTACCTGCACAACCACAATCTGTCCACTAGTTCCTGACAGTGTCTGTTACCTGCACAACCACAATCTGTCCACTAGTTCCAGGCAGTGTCTGTTACCTGCAGCAGTGTCTGTTTTTGTTTATTCAGAATTTAAAAACCACAGGGCCTTCTTGTTCTCTATACCTAGCATAGAAGAGGAGCTCTAGATTACTGGACAATGTGGATAGGTCACACAGATACAACAGCCTCACCCGAACATATGGACATCTGTGTTTGTGATCAAGAATCCCTTGTCTGGGGTCCACGGCAGGTCTGCACCTGCAGAAATTATCCTCCTGCATACATGACCCAGCAATCATAAATGTTGTGGAAACTAACAGTTTTCTTGTTTTATATATTGAAACAGATGTTATTAATTGCATATTTTCATCGTTTTATCTTCTACAGAAAGAAAATTTGGAAGATTACCTGGAAAAAGCCAAAGTTTCATCATCACGGCAATTGTTAACCAACTGTATTTACTTGCTGGATTCCTGCGTCCAAGTTTGTGGAGTCCAGATTTATGGTTCTCCGTGGTCAGTTTCCACCATCACACATGTCATATCTGTCCATCCACTCCACCATCACACACATCATATCTGTCCATCCACTCCACCATCACACACATCATATCTGTCCATCCACTCACACACATCATATCTGTCCATCCACTCCACCATCACACACATCATATCTGTCCATCCACTCCACCATCAAACACATCATATCTGTCCATCCACTCCACCATCACACACATCATATCTGTCCATCCACCATGCATCCATCCACATACATACATCATATCTGTCCATCCACTCCACCATCACACACATCATATCTGTCCATCCACTCCACCAAATCACAATTAAGTTATGAGACTGATTTTGTTAAGGCACATCTTCATGAAAATGCACTGGCTCAAAGGGTGGTAGTTGCACCGGAATTTTTAGCCCCAAAATAAGTGTTCTCAACCATCCACCCTACTCCCCAGATTTGTCTCCCTGTGATAATTTTCTTCTTTTTTTTTTTTTTTTCAAAAATTAATGTTAACATTGAAAGGCCTCTTCTTTGACAATATTGATGCCATCCAAAAGGCTGAAACATTAACTTTATGGGTCATAACAACAGAAGAACTACAGAGGTCATTCCAGTGTTCGTTAGATCGTGCCACTTGCTGTATCAGTGTACAAGGTGCTTACTTTGAATAAAATACAGGTTATATCTTCAACTGTTGATTTTGATTTTTGTGGAATTACTCTCATTACTTAATTGTCGGATCTTGTATGTTTATTTTATATTTGCAACCCAGGCAACCCAAATTTGGTGGATGGGCATTTAACCTGAAGAGGGGAGCTGCCTGTTTGGACAAGTGGAACAAGATCCCAGAAGACACAGATATACTGATGACACATGGCCCACCTGTTGGTGAGTAGGACTCCCAGTGTCTGTACATGTGTTACAGCTACACATGGCTTACCTGTTGGTGAGTAGGACTCCCAATGTCTGTACATGAGTTACAGCTACACATGACACATGGCCCACCTGTTGGTGAGTAGGACTTCCAGTGTCTGTACATGTGTTACAGCTACATGAGGCTCACTGTTTGATACGCATGGCCCACCTGTTGGTGAGTAGGACTTCCAGTGTCTGTACATGTGTTACAGCTACATGAGGCTCACTGTTTGATACACATGGCCCACCTGTTGGTGAGTAGGACTCCCAGTGTCTGTACATGTGTTACAGCTACACATGGCCCACCTGTTGGTGAGTAGGACTCCCAATGTCTGTACATGTGTTACAGCTACACATGACACATGGCCCACCTGTTGGTGAATAGGACTCCCAGTGTATCAAACAGACACTGTACATGTTTTCTAGCTACATGAGGCTCACTGATACACGAGAATACCTAGACACAAATGTAAAGTGTACTCCCAGTGTCTGTACATGTTTTCTAGCTACATGAGGCTCACTGTTTGATACACGAGGCTCACTGTTTGATACACAAGGCTCACTGTTTGATATATGAGGCTCGAGTCACTGTTTGATACACAAGGCTCACTGATACACGAGAATAACTAGACACAAATGTAAAGTGTACTCCCAGTGTCTGTACATGTTTTCTAGCTACATGAGGCTCACTGTTTGATACACAAGGCTCACTGTTTGATATATGAGGCTCGAGTCACTGTTTGATACACAAGGCTCACTGATACACGAGAATAACTAGACACAAATGTAAAGTGTACATTCTGTCAGGGTATGGGAGGAATAAGTAAACAACAGTGTACAGTGTACTCAGAGAGGAATAACAACAACAGTGCAAAGTTTATTAGCTTCCCTGAATAAAAGAGGAATAACTAGACAAGAATGTGAAGTGTACATGCTCCCCAGAGTAGAGTAGGAATAACTAGAAAAGAATGTGAAGTGTACAGGCTCCCAAGAGTAGAAGAGAAAAAAACTAGACAAGAATGTGAAGTGTACAGGCTCTCCAGAGTAGAGGAGGAATAACTAGACAAGAATGTGAAGTGTACAGGCTCTCCAGAGTAAAGGAGCAATAACTAGACAAGAATGTGAAGTGTACAGGCTCTCCAGAGTAGAGGAGCAATAACTAGACAAGAATGTGAAGTGTACAGGCTCCCCAGAGTAGGGGAGCAATAACTAGACAAGAATGTGAAGTGTACAGGCTCCCCAGAGTAGAGGAGGAATAACTAGACAAGAATGTGAAGTGTACATGCTCCCCAGAGTAGGGGAGCAATAACTAGACAAGAATGTGAAGTGTACAGGCTCTCCAGAGTAGAGGAGGAATAACTAGACTAGAATGTGAAGTGTTCAGTCTTCCTAGAATAGGGGAGCAATAACTAGACAAGAATGTGAAGTGTACAGGCTCCCCAGAGTAGGGAAGGAATAACTAGACAAGAATGTGAAGTGTACAGGCTCCCCAGAGTAGGGAAGGAATAACTAGACAAGAATGTGAAGTGTACTGGCTCCCCAGAGTAGGGAAGGAATAACTAGACAAGAATGTGAAGTGTACATGCTTCCCAGAGTATGGGAGGAATAACTAGACAGGAATGTGAAGTGTACAGGCTTCCCAGAGTAGGGGAGCAATAACTAGACAAGAATGTGAAGTGTTGGGGGGTGGGGAATAACTTATAAAAAAAGAGGTAGATTAGGAAAACATAAAAGGCTTCTTATTACAACAGATGTTCATGTAGATGTTCAGACAGATGTTCAAGTAGACATTTCTTGCAGCAGTTATTGGGTGAACATTATTTTGTTTACATCTGCAGGACATGGTGACCTGTGCAGTGACGGCATGAGAGCCGGTTGTGTGGAACTTCTGCATACCATACAGCACCGTGTCAGACCAAAGTACCATTTGTTTGGGCACATACATGAAGGTGAGTTCCTGTGTGTCAACATGTTACATGTCTGTCAGGGTTGCAGCATGTGTGTCAACATGTTACATGTCTGTCAGGGTTGTTACATGTCTGTCAGGGTTGTTACATGTCTGTCAGGGTTGTTACATGTCTGTCAGGGTTGTTACATGTCTGTCAGGGTTGTTACATGTCTGTCAGGGTCGTTACATGTCTGTCAGGGTTGTTACATGTCTGTCAGGGTTGTTACATGTCTGTCAGGGTTGCAGCATGTGTGTCAAGCTTGTTACATGTCTGTCAGGGTTGGTACATGTCTGTCAGGGTTGGTATATGTCTGTCAGGGTTGGTATATGTCTGTCATGGTTGTTACATGTCTGTCAGGGTTGTTACATGTCTGTCAAGGTTGTTACATGTCTGTCAGGGTTGTTACATGTCTGTCAGGGTTGGTATATGTATGTCAAGCTTGCTACATGTTTGTCAGGGTTGGTATATGTATGTCAAGCTTGTTACATGTTTGTCAGGGTTGGTACATGTCTGTCAGGGTTGGTACATGTCTGTCAGGGTTGCAGCATATGTTTCAACTTGTTACATGTCTGTCAGGGTTGCAGCATATGTTTCAACTTGTTACATGTCTGTCAGGGTTGCAGCATATGTTTCAACTTGTTACATGTCTGTCAGGGTTGTTACATGTCTGTCAAGCTTGTTACATGTGTGTAGGGTTGCAGCGTGTGTGTCAAGCTTGTTACATGTCTGTCAGGGTTGCAGCATATGTTTCAACTTGTTACATGTCTGTCAGGGTTGTTACATGTCTGTCAAGCTTGTTACATGTCTGTCAGGGTTGCAGCGTGTGTGTCAAGCTTGCTACATGTCTGTCAGAGTTACAGCATGTGTGTCAAGGTTGGTTCATGTGTGTCAAGGTTGTTACATGTATGTGTCAAGGTTAGTACATGTGTGTGTCAAGGTTGTTACATGTCTGTCAGGGTTGGTTTATGTATGTCAAGCTTGTTACATGTTTGTCAGGGTTGGTATATGTATGTCAAGCTTGTTACATGTTTGTCAGGGTTGGTACATGTCTGTCAGGGTTGGTACATGTCTGTCAGGGTTGCAGCATATGTTTCAACTTGTTACATGTCTATCAGGGTTGCAGCATATGTTTCAACTTGTTACATGTCTGTCAGGGTTGCAGCATATGTTTTCACTTGTTACATGTCTGTCAAGCTTGTTACATGTCTGTCAAGCTTGTTACATGTGTGTAGGGTTGCAGCGTGTGTGTCAAGCTTGTTACATGTCTGTCAGGGTTGCAGCATATGTTTCAACTTGTTACATGTCTGTCAGGGTTGTTACATGTCTGTCAAGCTTGTTACATGTCTGTCAGGGTTGCAGCATGTGTGTCAAGCTTGCTACGTGTCTGTCAGAGTTACAGCATGTGTGTCAAGGTTGTTACATGTGTGTGTCAAGGTTAGTACATGTGTGTGTCAAGGTTGGTACATGTGTGTCAAGGTTGGTACATGTGTGTGTAAAGCTTATAGATGTTTATGTATGCTAGAGCATGCCTTGTGAACTTTCATACAATTTCACTAGAAGAAGTTTTTTCAAACTTGGTTGTAAATCAGTTCTACACCTTGGGTATTGAGTCAAGTGACATCAGTGTGCAACTATAGATATATCATCAGATTAAATCAGAGTGCATGTGTGTGTGTGTATGTGTGCTTGTGAATTTATGAGTGCACGTGTGTGTGTATGTGTGCTTGTGAATTTATGAGTGCATGTGTGTGTGAATGTGTGCTTGTGAATTTATGAGTGCATGTGTGTGTGTATGTGTGCTTGTGAATTTATGAGTACATGTGTGTGTGTATGTGTGCTTGTGAATTTATGAGTGCATGTGTGTGAGTATGTGTGCTTGTGAATTTATGAGTGCATGTGTGTGTGTATGTGTGCTTGTGAATTTATGAGTGCATGTGTGTGTGTGTGTGTGTGCTTGTGAATTTATAAGTGCATGTGTGTGGGTATGTGTGCTTGTGAATTTATTAGTAAATGTGTATATAAAGGTGATTGTGCTTGTCTCTGTGTATGTATATATATATATATGAGTTTGAGTGTATGTATGCATGAGTGGGGGTGCATGTATGTATATGTATGAGCATGAGAGAAATTATATATTGGTATGAGTGTGTGTGTGGGGGTGCTTGTGTCTGTGTATGTATGGACATATAAGAGTGTATGTGTATATTCAGAGTGGATATGATTGTGTATATAAGATGTGTGCATGCATTATTTCATTATGTATATTTTTATATAAACATAACATGCATTACCTATAATATGCAACAGCAGTCTGAAAGATGAGTGCTTGGAAGATGGGCTTACGTGCCCAATTAGTAACCCTTTTAAAATGAAGTTTGTTTGATAGTTAATTCAGTTGGGGGTTATTTACTGAAACAACATCAGTTTGATATGATTTGTTGTTTTATACCTCGTCTCCTGTTACATTATTTGTTGCTTTTATGTCAGCCCCTGTGACTTATCTTTTATCGCTGACATTTCCACAGGTTATGGGGTAACCACCGATGGCCAGACAACCTTTATCAACGGCTCCAACTGCACTCTGCGATACAAACCTGATAACCGGCCAATTGTCTTTGACTTCCCCATCCCAGACGGACATTTGAAATCTGAACTGTATCAACTGCCAGTCAACAACCTTTAGTATCGGCTTGATTTGTGACCTTGTGGAAACACATCGTACTTCATACCCCCCTGTGTTATATAAATATGTGATGACATTTGTATCATAATGATTGTATCCATATAGACATATGAATATTTCTGCAGCCGAGGTTTACACTACCATCTTTCTGCCGGGTCTTTTGACATGTTGTTCTGCGTACTTGGGCTACAACACTGCAGTATACCAAGAAAGGAGACGGAGCACATGTGGGAATGTCCTGAGTGCAGGCATGTCAGTTCTTGATTGATTCATTGATTGATTCATTCATCCATTCAGTATGGATATATTCCTTTTGCTTGGAGAATCCATTGATCTGGGAGCCAATTAACTGAAAATTTAATTTATCTGGGATTCAGGGACATTGAGTTAACCATTTATTTATGATATTTAGTATAGAATAAAAATATAACAAAAATTGATTGTAAATTTGTTTAATAATTCATCACAGAACTGAATTAGTGATAGTAGTGGATAAGTGACCAGGAGATGAAAGATGGGCATTGAAGTTACTCGGAGGCTGCCTCAAAGTGCGTGCTGATTCAGTGCTGACTACACAGGGACCTTGTTGTGTGCTGATTCAGTGCTGACTACACAGGGACCTTGTTGTGTGCTCATTCAGTGCTGACTACACAGAGACCTTGTTGTGTGCTGATTCAGTGCTGACTACACAGAGACCTTGTTGTGTGCTGATTCAGTGCTGACTACACAGGGACCTTGTTGTGTGCTGATTCAGTGCTGACTACACAGAGACCTTGTTGTGTGCTGATTCAGTGCTGACTACACAGGGACCTTGTTGTGTGCTCATTCAGTGCTCAGTGCTGACTACACAGGGACCTTGTTGTGTGCTGATTCAGTGCTGACTACACAGGGACCTTGTTGTGTGCTGATTCAGTGCTGACTACACAGGGACCTTGTTGTGTGCTGATTCAGTGCTGACTACACAAAGACCTTGTTGTGTGCTCATTCAGTGCTGACTACACAGGGACCCTTGTTGTGTGCTGATTCAGTGCTGACTACACAGGGACCTTGTTGTGTGCTGATTCAGTGCTGACTACACAAAGACCTTGTTGTGTGCTCATTCAGTGCTGACTACACAGGGACCTTGTTTGTGTGCTGATTCAGTGCTGACTACACAGGGACCTTGTTGTGTGCTGATTCAGTGCTGACTACACAGGGACCTTGTTGTGTGCTGATTCAGTGCTGACTACACAGGGACCTTGTTGTGTGCTGATTCAGTGCTGACTACACAGGGACCTTGTTGTGTGCTGATTCAGTGCTGACTACACAGGGACCTTGTTGTGTGCTGATTCAGTGCTGACTACACAGGGACCTTGTTGTGTGCTCATTCAGTGCTGACTACACAGGGACCTTGTTGTGTGCTGATTCAGTGCTGACTACACAGGGACCTTGTTGTGTGCTGATTCAGTGCTGACTACACAGGGACCTTGTTGTGTGCTGATTCAGTGCTGACTACACAGGGACCTTGTTGTGTGCTGATTCAGTGCTGACTACACAGGGACCTTGTTGTGTGCTCATTCAGTGCTGACTACACAGGGACCTTGTTGTGTGCTGATTCAGTGCTGACCTACACAGGGACCTTGTTGTGTGCTCATTCAGTGCTGACTACACAGGGACCTTGTTGTGTGCTGATTCAGTGCTGACTACACAGGGACCTTGTTGTGTGCTGACACACAGGGACCTTGTTGTGTGCTGATTCAGTGCTGACTACACAGAGACCTTGTGCTGTGTGCTCATTCAGTGCTGACTACACAGGGACCTTGTTGTGTGCTGATTCAGTGCTGACTACACAGGGACCTTGTTGTGTGCTGATTCAGTGCTGACTACACAGGGACCTTGTTGTGTGCTCATTCAGTGCTGACTACACAGGGACCTTGTTGTGTGCTGATTCAGTGCTGACTACACAGGGACCTTGTTGTGTGCTGATTCAGTGCTGACTACACAGGGACCTTGTTGTGTGCTCATTCAGTGCTGACTACACAGGGACCCTTGTTGTGTGCTCATTCAGTGCTGACTACACAGGGACCTTGTTGTGTGCTGATTCAGTGCTGACTACACAGGGACCTTGTTGTGTGCTGATTCAGTGCTGACTACACAGGGACCTTGTTGTGTGCTGATTCAGTGCTGACTACACAGGGACCTTGTTGTGTGCTGATTCAGTGCTGACTACACAGGGACCTTGTTGTGTGCTGATTCAGTGCTGACTACACAGGGACCTTGTTGTGTGCTCATTCAGTGCTGACTACACAAAGACCTTGTTGTGTGTGCTCATTCAGTGCTGACTACACAGGGACCTTGTTGTGTGCTGATTCAGTGCTGACTACACAGGGACCTTGTTGTGTGCTGATTCAGTGCTGACTACACAGAGACCTTGTTGTGTGCTCATTCAGTGCTGACTACACAGGGACCTTGTTGTGTGCTGATTCAGTGCTGACTACACAGGGACCTTGTTGTGTGCTGATTCAGTGCTGACTACACAGGGACCTTGTTGTGTGCTGATTCAGTGCTGACTACACAGGGACCTTGTTGTGTGCTGATTCAGTGCTGACTACACAACATTGTTGTGTGCTGATTCAGTGCTGACTACACAGGGACCTTGTTGTGTGCTGATTCAGTGCTGACTACACAGGGACCTTGTTGTGTGCTCATTCAGTGCTGACTACACAGGGACCTTGTTGTGTGCTGATTCAGTGCTGACTACACAGGGACCTTGTTGTGTGCTGATTCAGTGCTGACTACACAGGGACCTTGTTGTGTGCTGATTCAGTGCTGACTACACAGGGACCTTGTTGTGTGCTGATTCAGTGCTGACTACACAGGGACCTTGTTGTGTGCTCATTCAGTGCTGACTACACAGGGACCTTGTTGTGTGCTGATTCAGTGCTGACTACACAGGGACCTTGTTGTGTGCTCATTCAGTGCTGACTACACAGGGACCTTGTTGTGTGCTGATTCAGTGCTGACTACACAGGGACCTTGTTGTGTGCTGATTCAGTGCTGACTACACAGAGACCTTGTTGTGTGCTCATTCAGTGCTGACTACACAGGGACCTTGTTGTGTGCTGATTCAGTGCTGACTACACAGGGACCTTGTTGTGTGCTGATTCAGTGCTGACTACACAGGGACCTTGTTGTGTGCTCATTCAGTGCTGACTACACAGGGACCTTGTTGTGTGCTGATTCAGTGCTGACTACACAGGGACCTTGTTGTGTGCTGATTCAGTGCTGACTACACAGGGACCTTGTTGTGTGCTCATTCAGTGCTGACTACACAGGGACCTTGTTGTGTGCTCATTCAGTGCTGACTACACAGGGACCTTGTTGTGTGCTGATTCAGTGCTGACTACACAGGGACCTTGTTGTGTGCTGATTCAGTGCTGACTACACAGGGACCTTGTTGTGTGCTGATTCAGTGCTGACTACACAGGGACCTTGTTGTGTGCTGATTCAGTGCTGACTACACAGGGACCTTGTTGTGTGCTGATTCAGTGCTGACTACACAGGGACCTTGTTGTGTGCTCATTCAGTGCTGACTACACAAAGACCTTGTTGTGTGCTCATTCAGTGCTGACTACACAGGGACCTTGTTGTGTGCTGATTCAGTGCTGACTACACAGGGACCTTGTTGTGTGCTGATTCAGTGCTGACTACACAGAGACCTTGTTGTGTGCTCATTCAGTGCTGACTACACAGGGACCTTGTTGTGTGCTGATTCAGTGCTGACTACACAGGGACCTTGTTGTGTGCTGATTCAGTGCTGACTACACAGGGACCTTGTTGTGTGCTGATTCAGTGCTGACTACACAGGGACCTTGTTGTGTGCTGATTCAGTGCTGACTACACAACATTGTTGTGTGCTGATTCAGTGCTGACTACACAGGGACCTTGTTGTGTGCTGATTCAGTGCTGACTACACAGGGACCTTGTTGTTTGTGTGCTCAGTCAAGTAAGTTCACAAATATCACCAGAAACAATAAATTAGTGGCTGGAATTTTCATGTCTTGAATTATTCACAAAAATCCTATACTTTGCTGCCTACCATCACTGACTACCAATAATGTAATTTGTAATGTTAGTGAAGTTATGACAGCAAGAAGATTGTCGAACTGTTATGGGACTACATCAGGACTGCCTTTTCCTGACTGCTTTTTGTATTGGTGTAAGCTCGTGGCCAAGGTCGTCAGACAGCACCGGACGCATCATAATTGTCAAGGAAACAACCAAAACTTAGCAATGGGGTGACTAAAAAGAGGCAGTTTCATCCACCAGGCCCAACGACTCTGCAGTCAAACCACTGATGTGCCTGCAGCTGATAGCCCAGATGATATCCCAGATCGGACTCCTGGAGACAGGATTATATGGTGCAAATACATTTCCAGACAGAAGTGAAAGGAGTATTTGACAAGGAAGAACAAAACTATGCCGTGTAAAGCAGCCACCCTCAACCTACTGGATGATGAATACGCACATAATCTGAGATGTTCTCTACACGGATGGGTCAGCACAAAACGGATTCAGAAATGGAGCATTAAATAATACCAGATATACAGCCAAAATACCAGCAGGAAAGCACTGTCACAACTATGATGCAGAAGTTCAAGCCATCAAAATAGCAGCAAAGAAAATGCGGCTCTCCTTTAAACTACGGCCGGTTAATCAGAGTTCAGTCCCTTCGCTGCAGTGCAATTACGGAGTGGAAAAGAGGGAACGAAACAAATTACATAATTACTGTGTGTTGGCGATAGACAGCGTGCAGTGCCCTGCTGTCATTATGCGGCTAGGGTTATGGGTATGGTTAGGGGTAGGGTAACACATGTAACGTCGAGTACTTATCCATAATGACGGCCGCTATATCTGATAATCTTATTGCTCATTAGGGCATAGAGATCCGCAGGTGTCACATCTACGGCCACTAAGTCTTGTGTGACAAGAACGGGGTTGCTAATGTGAGTCGCAGTGCG